TCCAGCAAAGGCGAGTTGCCGTAGAAGTTGCGTAAAGCAGAGCTCCCAAATATGTGAAAGCATTCTTGACTCCTTGCCTGGAGCCCACCAGTTCCTTTTGAAGATTAAGATACAAGTGATGAAGGCGATTCACCTCCGAGCGAGCAAAGGTCGTGTGAAAGTATGAACCCGCTCGTGTTTTGCAAAGGGCTCACGCTGACAAATGAAAGCAGCTTCCTCGGGAGCGGTGTCTGCTCTGGACAGTCGGCAGCTGGTTTGTGCTGACTCGAGGCAGAAATGCTCAAGTCAACCGGCTCGTAAAACGTCCCGGCCGGGCGGCGGAGAGTGTCTGGGCACACGCGGAGTGTGGCGGTTTGACACGTGTCCCGCACGGGCATCATCCTTCAGCTGCGCCGAGGCCTGACGCTGCGCTGCACACGCCGTGTCCGTCCTCCGAGTGAGCGAGTGGCAGGGGGGCAGGATGTGCCTGTGCTGCCCTCCTGTATTTGTACCTTGACAGGGAGGGACTCCTCACCAGGGTGACGTCTATGGGCAGCCTCCAGCACCTGTTTTCTCTTGATTTATCAGACAAAAGCACCAAGAGGAGAGGTTTTTTTGTCGTTTTCTTTTTTTTTTTTTCCAATGAGCATTAATTGTAGTAATTACTCACCATCCACAAATCTGAAAGCTTTCAAATCACCTTTAGCTAATACTAATTTTCTGACATACAGAATTAAGTCGTGCTCATTAGCTGCTGAGCCAACCGCGGCAGGCTGGGGACAGGACCGCTCACGGCGAGCTCACGTGTGCTTCGCAGGCAGAAGTCCCGTCTGAGCACCCCTGCTCTGGTGCCCGGGTTGTGCTGCTCCCGGCACTGGGAGCTGCTCCCTACCATAGCTGTAGAGAAAGGAAAACTTCTAGATCAAAAAAGAAACACAGCAGCGTGTGAGCTGAGTTGTGCAAGAGCTCTGATATCCCTGGTGCTGGGTGGAGGGCTCTGCTCTTCGCTTCCACAAATAACACCCAGTTTCTATGTCTTTATTCACGCTTATTCACTCCTTGCGTCATCAGCCAAGCAGCTGAGGATCTCGGTGTGTGGTGTGGTTCTCCCTCGCTAGAAAGGGAAGGACAGCATCCTGTGTTTTGTTAGAACACCCACACGTTGTGTTTGGAGATGCCCTGGCACTGTGCTGGGTATCGGAGAGGATCAGAGACAGAGGAAAAAGAAACTCTGCATCCGTTTGGCAGCGTGGAAAGCTTTAACGAAGCCAGCGAGGGTCCTCTCCGCGCTGCTTTCTCGCCTGTTTCCTCTGTAGTTCCTTGGATTTGTGTAACTAAATTTGTGATCGGTGAGATGGGCACTAAAACCCTCAGCCTGTGTGAGTGTCCTGCTCTCTCCAGCTGGAAGGTGTCCTTGGCCATAGAATTATTTAGAGTTTAGTGCAAACAGTTGGTGCGCACAGACTTTGGTTGAGCTTTAGTACATCAAGAGTTGTCTTGATTATACATTTGACTGTGAATCCTGTGCAGGGAGTTACCTGGAGTCCCTGGAAACACTGGGACACTGGCTCCAAACATCCCAGGCAGCAGCAACTGCAGAATAACCAGCCTGTGATAAAGCTGCTGCTTTGTATCAGCCACTGCCTGATGTAACTGTGTTTTGCTCTGCTCTTTGGGGTGTAACACAGAATAATTCCATATGTGTTGTGCGTTCTGGTGAGCGAAGGGCTCAAGTCACCTCTGAGTTCTGAGCCAGTGGCCTTTCTTCCCCTCTTTTCAGGCTAGAGTGGAAAGGAGATGTGGTTGTTTCTTTTCTAGCAAGAGAACGAAGATGGCTCGAATGGCTGTGTCTGTGGTAACAGTGTCCCCTCGTCCTTTTCATGCACTGACACAGAATTGCAGGGCTGTCTAATCAAATTGGTCTAAGACTGATGGTAATGAAAGAGAGGGCATTTCTCCACCACCCGCAGAAGGTATTTCTAGCCTGTTCCCTTCCCCTTTAATTAATTTGGGAACCGTCTTTAACACTTGTGAGCCAGACCTTCCACGTGAATAAACTGCTCTAGCTCTGTTCCTTTAACTGAAAAGGGCTGAATTACGTCAGCTGGGGCTCCTGTCCAGCTTAGTCAGCACAACAGCTCTCGGGGAGTTGGCATGTCGACGCCGTGCGTTGCAAGTCTGGGATATGATCTGGACGTGGCTCCAGAAAAGCCCATTACCCCATTTGTGCTGCCGCAAGGGCTCTGGAGAGACCAATGGCACCAGCGTGTTCTCTCGCTGTCTGTGGCCGGTACAAAATCTGCAGCTGGGTAAGTTCAAACATGAGAAATAATAGCAGCGTTGCTATTGTCTGCTTTGCCAGTCCTTCAGTAACCTCCCAGAATGACTTAAGAATCTCAGGAGAAATAAACAGGGCAAGAATGATGAGTTTGACTAACTGAAAAAAATAATGTTACTCGCGCCTGGCAACCATTAGCCGACGGGCACGGAGGGACACGATCCACCCAGGCTGAGCTGAGCTCTGTGTCCGCCCTGCCAAGACCTGCTCAACACGAGGAGGCTGCAGCAGGTTTGTCCCTGCAGCTGCCTCTTGTACCCATCAGGGTCGGAATGTGGCACCGCTCCTCACCCAGGCTGTCTCTCTGCTGTTGAGGAACCGCTCCAGCTCTGCCCGCTGGTCTTGGCCGGAGGGACTGGTGGCACTGCACTGTGGGGCAGGGTGGTGTGTGTTTAACCCGTTCCTCACCGCGAGTGGGTCCCACCTCCCACTTCCCCAGGCATTTCCTGCTTACAAGCTGCAGGATGTGTTTCTTCTCCTGTTTTACTCAGCTTTACATGAGGAAAGCTCTGAAGCCTGTGGAGGACAGGAGGAGAACAAGCCCAAGGAGACCATGCTGAGGTGCTCCGTGACGCTGCTCCATGGCCAGGGCACAGAGGCTCTCTCAGAAAACGTGCTTCCCCCCCTTCTTGCAAGTGCTCCTCTCTTCCAATCACATCGAAAAATATCGCAGCTGAAACGTCTGTTGGTACAACAGACAGAATTATGTGATAGTTTTACACATGCACCAGAACTCACAGAACCTGTTTGTCGAACATGCTGACAGTCGGTGATGTTTTAATGGTCTTTACATTGCAAACACGTTTTTTTCAGTCTTGCTTTTAAAAATAATATTGTAAAATATGGACCAGCAAATTGGACAAGGAGCTGACAGGCAGGATTCTGGTGCTGCTTCTGCCATGTTGCTGCTGTGTTGCCCCTTGGATGACATTAGACCACCTAAAGGTGTCAGGAGATGCTTCGTTTTTATTTTCCTGTTGAGTTGGCAATAGCGCTCTTTAGTCACATTTGTGTTTTGCTATTTCTGGCAGTGACAGGGACTTCAGAACAATTCTTACGTTCACCTGGCCCAGGGAACCCTCTCTGTGATCCATGCTCTGTCCATCACCCTGAGATGAACACAGCGCTTGAGCAGTCCCGCTTTGGAGACCCTTTGTAATCCACGAGGTTGGACTGCCCAGGCCCAGGCCAAGAAGGATCTTTACAAGGTGGGATGGCCAGAGCAGAGAGTCAAGCAGAATTTCTGTCTGTCAGGAGAAAAAGAGATCTGAGAATTTTGTCCCATACCGGTGGGGTTGATGTCTGGAAACAGAAACTGTGGTTTCTGTTAAGTACTTTGGGGAGGCGGATGCTTTATCCTCCTCAGCCAAAATCTTTCGGAAATGTCCTAGAGGAAAAAGGGTCCAATTGCAATGCTAGAGACAGACGGCTCGGTTTATTGTAAAACAGAAAGAGCTGCCAGTGGTCCAGCCTCTGTACAGACCGGGCTGCCCAGCAGCTCCAGAGGGAGATAGGGCTGAAATCAAGACAGTGATGCCAAAGGCCTCCAGCTGGGAGTTCCTCCCATTCTCTCCCACCAACCGAAACAGGAGAGGGAGCAGGCTCTAACCCCAGAAGTTGGGCGTGGGGTGTTTTTGTGTTTTCTGATAATACAGACTGGTGATCTTCTCTCCTCGTATTTAATTTGCCCTTTCCTCTAGCCCTCTGTTCTTATCAAACGCCACTTGGCACTGCTTCCCTCCCAGCCTCCAGCTTCCCACTCTTTTTACAAAACCCCTGTTACAAGATACAACTGCTGAGAGATGTAGTAAAGATACACCTGTTGGGTAAGGAGAGCTGTGGGCTTTCTCATGGTCTCATTCTTTTCCGTGGCCAGGAATTTATTGTTGATCTTAATCTTAGGCCAGAGAACGTCACTGCGCGGTGACAATAAATGTACTTGAACAATTTGCTGATAGGCAGGTTTGTTTGTCTTCTCATGCAGATGCCAAGGGGGAGGAGGGCTTGGGAGAAGGGAGCTTCTTGCCTTTTCATCTCTTTGAAACAAGTGGAGGGAACACAAAGGGATGGCAGTTCTGGTTTGAAGGAAGTGCTTGAGACTTTTACAAGCCTCTTTCCAGCTCTAATTCCCAGCCTTAGCGGGAGCTGAGGAAATGCCCAGATTTTACCCATCAGGTTTCTTGAGATGCTGTGTAGCCCCACAAGCATCCCTCGCTGTTTCTGCCCAGTGGTTCCCCGATCTAACTCTTTCTGCCCCATGTTCTCCTCCGAGGGTGAGTTTAGGCACTGGCAGTGCAAAAGAAAGGCAGCCTGATGCTTAAAACCTCTGCCTGGGTTATGAAGGATCTTTTTCCAGGTCATGTGTGCTCTGGCTTCTTGCTCTGTACAATGGGGATAAGAAATTACCCCTGCATCATAAGGGTGGTGCAGTATTTAATTACTGTTTATAAATGCCTGAGAGATCATCTGATAAAGGTACCTCTGATACACTGCTCCGGGGTGTTATCAACCCACACGCCCCTCCAAGGCAGCGCACTGTAACGCTTCCACCTCTGAGCCAGTCCCTGCAAACCTGAGGCAATAAGTGGCCCCACTGGACCAGGCAATATGGTGGGACCACTCTGCTGCCCGACGTATTTTCTTACGTCCCATGAAAATGGAAAATCCTCCAGGCTGGACTTACCTGGAAGGAGTTTTCTTAGCTTCCGTGGCAGGTTTATGTGGCTGACAGGTCGCAGGCTCCGGAGCAAACCTGTACATCCTTGTTGGGCACGAGGTCTTTGACCTGAAGCAAGACGTTATCCCCTTGGGAGACACCGTGATGAGGGAATCATTGATGTCGTAGTGACCTACAAGACAAACAGGAAAGGGAAGTGAGTACCAAACAAGGCCACAGCTGTGGCAGTGAGGAAGGAGAGTGCATCAGTCAGTGAATGTAACAGGAGGAAAAAGAACCAGTCTAACAGGACTGTATGAGGAAATCACTTCTGGATTTAAAAAGTGCTGTCCTGGGCAGAGCTTATTTCGAGGGACACTGATAAGACAACACTAAACTTTGTCCTGAGATATTTGGATCAGGACGGAGATATTTGCAATTTTAAAGAATCCAGAAAACAGGAGGAGAACTCACATGTGGTATAACTTGTAAGATAAGCCACGTGCCCTCACGCTCCGGGTCTCAGACCTCACCAGGCAACAGGCTGGCTTCCTTTGCAGCTGGAGTACTGGGGAGCTTGGTACATGACGCACTAAGGTGGCTTCTCCTGAAGCCTCTGGCAGCGAGACGGAGCTGTGGGGTGTTCTAGCCACTCCTTATGGGTGCTCAAAACTGTCAGGATGGTTTCCGGATGGTTGTCTCAGCAGAGTTTGAAAGGGACCTACCCATAGCTCTTGGGAGGGAGACTCAGTAGTGTCCCGTCACCTCCTCACATCGAACGTGCCTTCAGAAGCTCTGAGTGACGATGCACAACCAAAATCACCAGCCACATCTTTCCTCCCAGCTCAAGGCTCGCATACACAGAGAAGGCCATTTTCCAAATTTCTCCAAATGTAATCCTTTTGTGGTTTTGGACATAAACACTGTCTGGCCAGAAACGTCATTGCTTTGCTTGCAGAAATCCATAGAGGCCTGTTGCAGAAAAAGGGCTTGTGAGTGCCTTGGAATTGACTTTACCAGTGGGTAATTACCAACAAAGGAAAAGCCACATTTAAAATCCAGTTGTCTCCGTTGTGAGTGATTCTAATGATACAGCTGGAGGCAGTATTAGGGCCAAAATCTGGGAGTGCTTACCAGCTGCAGGTAGGTCTCTTTGTGACTGCCCAGCATGTGAAGGTTGCATTTACACAGACGCCGAGGACTTGAAATTCTTGCAGAAAATGTGGTTTTGTGTGTGTAACTGCCGTCTCCAGACTTCTCCGTCGTCAGCTCTGAGTGTCTGGTTTTGTTTAAGTCACCAGCTGAGCACAAAACGTGAGCTGGTGCTGCCAAAACACCTAAGGAGGATCCCTGTGGCAGCCCTCGGAAAGTGCTACAGAGAAAAGGAGACGTCACCGATACTGTTGCTGCCGGGGCTGCAGGGTGGGCTGATAGGTTTGAGCTAAGGATGACTTGAAGAATCTGCATTTTTCAGTTTGTTCAAGCCTGCAGAAAACTGCTGGAGTGTTTGTGGAACTGACTTCTTCTAATCAGGCTATAGCCAGAGAAAATATCAAATGGTCAAGGCTAGTTCAATGATGGAAAAGTCCAGTTCAAGCACAGGCGCGGGGAGGTAGCAAGAAGACACCTGCATTAAACATTCAAACGCGGCCAGATTGGTGCTTTTCCCCTGGTTTTCCCGTATGCTTCACAGAGTAGGCTGGTGAAACGCCTCCAACAGTCACGATGCTTAACTGGCTTTATTTTAACATAGGGTTTGGTCCCAAAGCTGAAGGTGGCTTTGAGGACAGCTTGGGACACCGTTTTCTTGTTTCTCACTCATTTCTTCTCTGATATTCATCAATTTTCAGCTGTCACTGCCCCAGATGCAGACCCTCCAGTTACTAGACAAAAGTTCCTTTTTGCCTGCGTGAGAGCAGCGACCACGTCAAGACTGCAGGATCTGTCCACCTTTTTCTTCTCAGATGTCTCTTTGTCTATAGTCATAAATTATCAGACACTGCCATCATTTAAATAGATAGTTTCCTGTTCTGCTTCTTGTAGGTTAGATATTATCTCCTACAGTAAATCATGAGTCAGTGATTAATTCAAGAAGGCCGTTCCCAGAAGCAAATTCTTACAATGTTAAAAATAATATGATGCGAATTCATTATAGTATGATATAGAAAATAATTATGGCCTGCAAACTAGTTTAATCAACTTAGAACGTGCTGGGGCAGATACTCCGTCGAAGTGAGTCATTATAAGAAAGTTCACAGTCTTGGCGCATAGGTTGGGTGAGCGAACACGATTGCCCCATGTCAGCTGAGTCTCGGGAACTCTGGACCGTGCGCTCTTTGCACACCCAGATTGTGAGGTAAGACATGTTTGTTTAAAACACCTTTGCTGATGTTTAAGCTTTATCAAATTACTATAAAAGCATGAATTGCTTCAAGAACACGCATGCAGCCAGTTAAGATGTCTCAGCTGATGAGTGGCAGCTTATTAAGCTTATTAAATGGTGTTGTCTTCATTCTGTCTTAAGCATCTGTGCGAAGTCATCAAATATTATAAAGAGTCAGCGCGCTCTGCCTCACCACGCAGCGGCTGTATCTTGCATTTCAGTGCAGCTGGCAAGGGGACAGCTCGCTAGGAAATGGCTGCAATGCACTACTGCTGTGCAGAAAAAGACAAAAACTCTCTCTGAAAAATAACACACCGATCCAAAAGTAATCGCAGCTAGAGCGAGACACCATTGAAGGACAGAGAAGCCCATCAGCAGTGTGTATGTTATTACAAACCATCTGATAATTGTTAATAACACTTTGTGCTTTGTTAACGTCTCAAAACATTCTGAATTCCTGCGGACTAAAGCTTACAACACCCCAGCGAAGCCTGGTCACCGCAGCATGGGTGGGGAGCATCAGGCGCAGAACAGTTAAGTGACTTACACAAGGGTGAATCAGCAGGAGGTTGAGGAACTGAACCTGACGGCGAGGTCCTCAGCTGATAGGAACTGGCACGGCTCCACAGCAAGTGGAAGGGCACAGGCAGTTACATCAGTCGTGCGTACGCAGACCTGCCTCCCAGCTCTGGGGCTGAACCTCAAAACCCAGCACCTGATAACGACGTAACAGTCACCCGCCTTGAGCTTCTTGGCAGAAGTTCCCCACAACCAACTAAAGCAGGTCGGATTTCTGGGCTGCAAACCCGTGGGATGCCGGGGGGTCTCCCAGGAGCAAAGCCAGTGATGTGGCAAGGCCAGGGGCGCAAAGGTCCGGGCTGCTGCAGCCAACTCCAAGAGTTGCACCCGAACTAGGGAGGTGGCAGCTAGTCCTAGTGTTTTCTGGGACCACAAAAGTTATATGTTAGCTGGGACCCCCACCCTGGCCTTGTCCTCCCTTGCAAATCTACTTAGACGGTATCGACTGGGTGCTGGAGTGGGGATTTTCTCAGTCTTCCTAGCAACGGGTTGTTGAAACACGCTGCCTTTTCCCTGCTCTTCTTCCGAGCACAGACCTAAACCCCAGCAGTTTTAGGAATAACTCTTAGAGCAGTGATGCTGGAACCAAGCAATCGTCCGTACAGTCCATACGTGTCCATCTGTACGTACACACCTTTTCAACCTTGCCTACAATTGTCTTACTGGCCCTTATGGCTGTGAGTTCCACACATGAATAACTATTAATTTGTCTTTTTTAATTTGTGTATCTGCTGCTCCAAACAGCTTTCATCGTAAATCACCATCCCAGTTTACAAACGAAGACTGCACATTGTTCCTACAATTACTTCCTCCTTTCAAGTTTAAACTTACTGGGTTTTAAGTTTATGCTCTTATCCTTCTGCTTTATATGATATGGGAGAAGCTCACTCTTTCATTTTTCTTAATTATCTCACATACATTTCAGGTCATCTTATTTGCCTTCTCTCTAAATAAAACATCTTCAGCGTTTTCAGATTTTACTGGGATTCTAATGATCATCTCATTTCTAAATTGAGTCTATTTCTGTTGTAGCTTTCTTTAGAGTTAGGGTGGCCAGAACTAAACATAACATTCCAGCTGAAGGTGTATCAGCAGCACAAATGACAGTACTACTGTATTTCCTGGATCATTTTCCAAGCCACCGCTTGCACCCCCAAATTTTACGCTTCAATTGTAATCGTGCATTGAGGTAAGATGTCTTCATTGTTTCAAAATCATAATCTTTTAATGCAAGCCCAGAATATTTCTGAGTATAAGGAAGATCAAATTTCTCTCCTGTCTACACGGCAATTTGTGCAGACTGGGAGCCACAGCGAATCTAAAATCTCACCTGTAACATCTGAGTTGGAGCTAATTAATTCAGCATGTGGGCAGAACGCATTATTTGCAGTCACCACACCTTTCCTGACTCTGTTCTTTTTCTGGGCTTTGCAAAAAAAAAGGACTGGGTGGGATTCTATTTATAGAGCCAAATAAATCAAAACCTGCCCGTGTCGTACGCGATACCTCCAGCTTTTCAGATGTGGTCCTCCGAGGTGCCAGGTGCCCTCGGTAGTGCGCCCTACTTCCGCCAATCCCAGGGAAAAAAAAAGTGGGACTTGAAAGGTCTGGGACCATACAAGATGAAAGGAATAACTTTGTGCGAACATAAATACGAAATTATTGCAGTATGTAGGATGGAAAGATCTGAAGTTCCTGATCTTTAAGAGAATTCTGCCATTATGTGAACTTCATTAATTGTCTTTTTACTGACGGAATATATTCTGGCAGCGCCTGGAAGCGACTTTGTTCTGATGACTTCAGAGTTGGATTCTGGCAATGATCAGATGTCCCCACAAAACCAGCACAGACGTAACAGGAGGCAAAAGAATAATACGCATGTGCTTAAAGAACAAGGCAAGTTGAGAGGAGGCAAAAAAAAAAAAGTAGTTTGGGCATGATTCCACTCAAGCAGGAAAGATGCAAGGTTAAAAGTGGGGAAATTGAAGCCTGCAAAGGACAAGTAAATGGCTGATTAAAAACACCATCCACAGCAGCAGCAGCCTGGGAACAACTTGCTGCCCCTAAGAAACAACCAGAAGTGTCAGGGGGAGGATGGAGGCTCTTGCTTTGCTTGGTCTTGCGAAAGAGTATTCTCAAGGGAAGAAGAGCTGGGAGGGGGCAGGTGGTGCTGTCTGCCGGAGAAGATGCTGTTGATTTACAGTGAGATCATGGGCACATCACTCCACCAG